GGATGGGTTTCCTTCCTGCACCTGGCAGGGAGACATGAACCCCAGACTTCCTGTGTTCCACCTGTGACCAGGGGATCCGACCTGGGCCCCCACATGGAGAAACATTAGCCTTATAATATGATAGTGCTGGTGTTCAGTTTTGGGTGCAGCAAGGTGCACAAGTCATAGCCTTGGGTACCATCGGGATTTTCGCTTCACAACGCTAAAAACATCTCATGATTTTTCGGAAATCCGGATGGTACCTAGGCTACACAAGTCATGCACCCAGTATATCTAGCCCTCCCTTAACAAGCTACAAATGTAGTACTGATATATGACTTTCAGTAAGTGATTAGCTGCTGACAGTCTCATTTCAGTAATATTTTAGTAAAGCAGCTTTAGCTGCCTATAGTATAGATATTGCATTCGTTTTGGACAGTACAATGAACCACAGGTTTGTAAATGGATGCTGCTCAGAATGCCCCATCGTGTCTGGGTATTGATTGATGGTAATGATACTTGATGATACTTGGTAAGTTTGTGCGAAAAAAAATCCTTAAGTCATCAAAACAGTATTGCACACAATTTTAACATAGCAGTCATTGATATGGTAGTCATGTTATTGTGATAAATTGTGAAGAAGATTTTGCATCAATATCCAACAGCAATAATACGGGGAACAACGGACGCTAAGCCGTGCAGTGAGTGAGTGAGTGAATAACTGTTATAATGTACAACTTAAAGAATAGTTGACGTAAGCAGATTATGTTGATGCCACATGCTAATACAACTAATCTAAGTATATTTTATGTACACAAGAAACAGTGGGATCATGTGGATCTGGATTCAAGTTATTAACCTGTATAATATATAGCACAATCAGTCCAGCAGTCCCCATAGTGTGAAATGTTTCCTTACTGTAACTAGTTCCCTCTGTACTTTTGCCCCAGGGGAATAGCTGCTCTTTAGCCTTCAGTGGGACAGACAAGACTACAAGTGTCTAGGTCCCTACCTACAGTAGATTCATTATGTTCTGTCAGTTGATGTAACCTTATGTCTTATTGGATAACAGCCAGCCCTAAAGATAGGAAGTATATTGGCAGTGAACCAATCATGAAGCTTGATGCTGGTCCCTACAATAAATTCATTATGTTCTGTCAGTTGATGTAACCTTATGTCTTATTGGATAAAAGCCAGCCCTAAAGATAGGAGGTGTTGGCTGCGAACCAATCGTAAAGCATGATGCAACACGAAGAACTGCCTCAAGTTTGCCATCTTGCGATGTTCCCAAGTGAAAAGGTGCAGCCATGATATCCACCCTACCTGTCACTTGAGTAGATGTTGGCTACATAATCACCCTTATTAGATCTTGGAAGGGTAAAGAATTTATATAAATCAGAGTTAGATTGCATCCAGTGCAATTCCAGGGCGGCAAAACAAGAAATATATTCTGGGGGAGAAAATCTGTCTGGTATTAACTACATTTGACATTTACTGCCATTTCTTAAGGCAAATTTCGTGCTCATTTCATACTTCAAATTTAAAGCATTTGAAATAGTCCCAAAGAAGCTGTGTTAGGCGTTTCTTTATTTTTTGGGTACTGCACATAAATAGCTAGAACCAGCCTACGATACAAAACAAGCAATGGTTTTCCGTCAGTGACATCACATTTTTGCCTCACAGGTATTAGTATGCTATATAGCTATGGGATAGGATTGATTTAACTTACTGCATTAATGTAGTATGACCAGAAAATCGACTTTGGAATGACCAGAAAATTAACGTTGAAAATCCGGTTTTGTCTCCCCGAAATTGCGTTGGATGCCTTTAATCCAGACCACGTTGTTCGTCAATTCGTCACCGAAAAACACATTTTCATTGTTAGAGGGCAAGGTCAACGACAAGGTCAAACCCATAGCAGTGGAAGCAGGGTTTAACATTGGCCCTTGTAAGAGGCTGAAGTAGGCTCTGTTTGTGTGGCTTTCAACATACTCCCAGCTCCGCTAGACAAAACACGGTGCTCCAGGATTGTAGACTGTCTCTGCAACTGTCCCATGGCAGTCCAAGGATGTACTAAATCATCTATATTTTCATACCTGCTTAGTGTAAACCATCCGAGTCGCACTAGACCTCTGAACTTCGGGAGTGGAGAGTTTACCAAATAAACATCCTTTCCGCCCCGTTCCGTCGGATGTTTGAGTGTTTTCACGTCCGTCTCTTGTGTCTGAATTTTCCTGTTTGGGGATAAACACGGCAATCAGAGTTGATCCTGAGCTTGTCTGATGGGGGATATTTAAGACGATCATGCTACCCGCTCCAGGGCGAGAACCAGTAAACACACGGGCGACGTGCGCGATCCGACCAGGGGTTCTCTTTCAGCCATGTTTTTCTGTTTATTGTCAAGGTCGGCAGGTTAAATGCTATAAGTAATGTAGCATTGTCTCCGCTGTTGTATATATTTCAGGGTGCTTAGCCCAGGGGTTTCTTCACTGGTCACCGATGTCAGGACAGGGTCAGTCAGACTCAGAGTGACTTGACCGGTCAGTCCCAGCCACATGTAACTGTAATATTAATACTTCATCAGTGTTCTAACTTCTAGAGAGCCTGAAATTTTTTTCTGTCATCTCAATTTTGTTTAAAATATGTTGTTGCAAGTCATTGCTTCAAGATCCTAGGGGTTCCAGGCATGCTCTCCCAGGAAAATTTTGAAATCTTGATCTTCTGAAACATTATTTTGTTATAATTTTTCTGGACTTTTTCTGGAAGACTTACATTGCATGTAGCTTATGACATCTCTTTCCATATCTTTACACACCAATTTTGTCCATCAAAGATGACGAATTAGGCAAACTATTTGTCTATCACGAGTGGCAAAATTCGCTGGCTAGAACACTGATGATACTACTAGTCCGGAATTGGAGGTAACAATGGGGAAAGAAAACTGTCTGAGTGCCCGATTGTCATTCAGGAATCGAACACTTTCCAGACACAACTTTGAGCAACCTGAGACCATGACTTCATCTCTTGTGTACATGGTTTGTTGCCTGACACTGGGCACCTCATACTGCACACTTCTCCTGTCTACTTAGCCTCTGCACCGGCCCTGCCCCAGCCTGTGGCACAGGAATGTCGCCAATGTTAATACTAGATCATGTTCATTCCTTACATACTGACGCTAGCCAGGTAACAGGAGGAACAGTCTCTTCTGTGTTCAGCCTTGACACTTCTCCGTTACTGTGCACTTGTTCTCCATGCTAAACACATATATTGTACATGTACATGTACAAATGTAAGTCCAATACACTGTAACTTTTAAATGTCTTTACACTCCACATCTCCCACGTACAAGTGCCTACTTATTGTATTGATTTAAGAGTACAACTGCATTAAGCTTCTTTATCTACACTTGGGATGTTGGCATCTTAATTGATTGCGAATGGTACTGACTGATACTGAATGGTACATACTATAACACTGTGTAAGTGTGTAACAGGACTCATTTTTGGGAATAGCTGCACTGGTGCACTCAACCTAAAAAAATTTGGGTGCACCAAAGATATTTTGGAGTGTGCCATATAAAATAATTGTGTAGTCACAATTTTTATCATTACTAGTACTGTAATTAGTATAAAAATGAGACAAATCGGAACTATTACTCGTATGCATGTAGCAATCTTTCATCTGTAGTCCCAGCACTACTAACACGTACCAAACCTCTAAACGGCTTGGATGTGTGCTTTAATTTGCTTGGGCATCCTGCTATCTTGTGAAGATGATTGTCTATTAGTAAACACTTTGACTATGACACTAAGACCTCAGTATGGGTAGCTGGTGCTGTTTATTGATGTTGAGTTGCCAGGTCACTCCTATCTGTTCTGATATACACACATACATGTACATGTATAAACAGACATGTCAGGAGAACTTTGCCACTGCTCTGGACTAGCCATTATCAATGACTGCAACAGATCTAGAGGGATGCCTCAATATAGGTGTACAGTCAAACTTGTCTAAATCAATCATTCAGGGAAAGTGTAAAAGTGGTCTTCTTAGACAAAAAATATGGCGACAAGACTAGACAGAACAAGAAAGCCACAGCAAAATTGTTTCTACCCATTTTACAATAGACTGCCCCATTTGACCCAAAGTACCCCAGCAGGTGCAATTTTACACTGCACAAAGACTATTATGCAGTCAAAATGAATCACAAACTGGCCGATTCTAACAGGATTTCTTGGTAGTTAGCATCGAAAAACTTTTTACGCCACACACTGGAAGATAACTTGGCCTTCATACATATACATGTATAGCCTATAGGCAGAGAGCCAGTAGCCAGTGGAGTTGGATAAGTCCCTAAATGCATACGTCTATGGGGAAAAATTGTGAATATGTGACCGAGAAAATGGGCTGTTATCAACTGTTACATTACTATGTCATGTCATACACTCTGACACTGACAAACATTGCTGTGTATGACACCTGATCTGATGGTGCCAGATAAAGAAAAGCGCCACCTTTTGTGCCTTGTGCAAAGTGCAGTGTGACATACACCACTTGATACCAACTAAGATTGTAAATTGCTCTACACAGGATTTGTCATTGATACAAACAACTTAAAACTTCATTGGTCTTTGGTAATAATGTTTGGGATTATCAATGCTTATAGGGGCATAATGTAATATTTTTGTACAAAAGAATTCAAATATTTTATTTGAAGAAATCTTATTTATTTTTTTAGTGGGACTCTGATTTACTTCCACTTTTCAACATATTTGTGCAATTATGTCATATTTGTCACATTTATGGTTGGTGCTAAAACAGGCCACACGAGGTGCACTGAGTTTGTAGTGCCACCACAAACTCAGTGCACCTCCACTTCCTGAATTGTACTTACTTGCAATGGAGTAGGGTTGATATTCAACTTTCTTTATTAAGAAGTGACCAGAAAATTGACTTTTTGTATCATCCTAATGTTACATAAAGCAGCTTTAACAGCGATGAATTCTTTGTTTTTTGTGCAGAGCCAACAGCTGTTCTTCAACGACTACAAGAATGACAAGAAGGGGCGTATCGAGAACCTGCACACGGTGGGGGTGCACCGCGCCATCACCCTGCACCCCAACAAACACCCGTCCTACCAGTACCGCCTGCACACCTACCTCCTCAGTCAGCGCCTACAGAACCTGAGACAGCGGACACTCACCATGCACAGACAGGTATCTACAGTGTATCTGTATCTGTATAGCCGGTACAGGGGTTTTTCTAGTTCCACTCTGCAATAGTTCTAGGAAAGAATGAGTTTTTGAACACCTCAGTACGTACTTGGTTGATAACTCTGGTACTTGAAGGCATGACTTTTTCTTGTTCTTTTCTGAGCTGGTATTAGGTACTTAGAACGTTAGCAGAATGAAACTGCGCGAAAATGGTAAAGCATTGTGCACAGTACTTCGGCAGAACGTCTCATATTAGGTTGTATTGGTGCATATTAGGTAAACATGTCATCTGTATAGTTTCCAAATGTTATGGCAGAAAATTGTCTTCTACAGCACAGGTAAAAAACTCAGGTAATGAAACAAAAAATCCAACGAAAACCGTGAAAAATGGGGGTTTTGCACAGGTGCAGTACGTTCTGCTGACATGCTGTATAGCTGGTACGTCCACCAGTTTATTGGTCATTTTCTACATCCTCAGGTCCGGAGCATGACCCAGCTGTTGCAGGAGGACACAGTGGCAGGGCCAGACACACGGCTGGGCGAGGTGCCGTCCCTCATGCACGTCCCTCCGCGCGAGGCCGCCGAGGTGCTGACCTGGCAGTACCTGAACAACAGGCAGGTGTACGAGGCCAAGGACCTGCAACCCAGGCAGGGAATCCCCAAGGCACTGAGGGCAGGTCTGGACGACATCATCATGCAGGTGGGTCTGAAATAGAAGCACTACATACCGAGTCCATTGCCCGAACAGATCAGTGGGGGGACATAAAACCATGCAACAATTTGAGTTAAGTCCAAAGAGACTCTTTATTCTGCCGACGTTTTGGAGACCGTCTGTCACCTTCCTCAGGGCAATTTTGACTGGTTCACAATTTACTGCAGCACAGGTGTAAAGGATAACATCTGTGTCCATAATATCACCAGGGTCCATAATATCGCCACCTTGAGAAATAGTGTGCAGGAGTGCATGCCAAAAGTATGTTGCAGGAAAAATATCTTTAAGCACACTGTTTCTCAAGGTGGCGATATTATGGACCCTGGTGATATTATGGACACAGATGTTAGGTAATTTGTGACACAAACAAATTTTGACATGTAAAAGAAATAATGACAATGGTTTGTGAACAGTTTTTAGTATGAGCCATGCTTCTCAAAGTTCTTGTGGTGCAGGTAAAATTTGTCTGGTGCAGGTAAAATTGGTCTAGTGCAGGTAATTTTCAATGTTACCTGCACCAGTGCAGATGTGCAGAAAAAAGGATTTCGAGCCCTGAAGTATTTTGTGTTCTTTCATGAGCTTTTACCAAAGTTTTCTGTAACAAATCTAGTGCCTGTTTTGTACTGATGAAGTGCTTCTCTCCTTGCAGATGATGGAGATGATCAACCGCCACTCTCGGACGCGCGGCCGTATCATCGACTACAAGGACATCCAGTACGGGTACTGGCGCGTGAACCCCATGTACGGGGCGGAGTACGTTCTGGACCTGCTGCTGCTCTACCGCAAACACAAGGGCAAGAAGATCAACGTTCCCGTGCGCAGACACGCGTACCTACAGCAGGCCTTCAGCCGGGTCCAGTTCACGGAGGAGGAGACAATCAGCCAACCTGCCCGGGGGCATGTGCAACAGCACCACCTGGTAGATAAGAGCAGAACTGCAGAGCTTAGCAGTATTGACACTGAAACGGTGCACTTCATCGTCCCCCTCGTGGGGAGGCTGCAGACTCTCAAACAGTTTCTGGAGAATTACGAGAGAACTTGCTTGAGAACAAAGGAGAAGGTAAAACTGTTGATCGTTCTATTCAAGAGCAGACACAAACAACTAGACCAAAGTTCCGACATCCAGAATCTGGTGGGGCGGTATCAGAACATGTATCCCACCGCCTACCTAAGAATATTGTTTGTAGCGGGAGAGTTTTCCCGAGGACTGGGATTGGAACTCGGTGTCTCCCAGTTCACCAACACCTCCCTGCTGTTCTTTTGCGACGTAGACCTGGTATTCCAGCAGTCTTTGCTGCAGCGGATACGAGCTAAGACCGTTCTCGGCCGACAGGCCTACTACCCTATAGTGTTCAGCCAATACGACCCTAGTGTTGTACACGGGAACTCCTCCCTTTCTGTCAGGAACAATTTCCTGCTCACCAAAGACACCGGGTACTGGCGAAGCTTCGGCTTCGGCATCGTGTCGCTGTATGCCGCGGATTTCACGCGGGTGGGGCAGTTTGACACGTCCATCCAGGGCTGGGGGATGGAGGACGTCGATCTCTTTAACAAGTTCGTGCGCAGCGACATCAAGACTTTCCGCGTAAAAGACCCCGGGGTGGTCCACGTGTTCCACTCGGTGGCCTGCGACTCCCACCTGGAGGAAAAGCAATATCAGATGTGCCTGGGCACAAAGGCGGGCACGTACGGCAGCACCGCCAGACTCTCCAGACTATGGTTAGACAGACATCCGCCACACAGACCTGACGACAGGCGGTAGCATTAGCTGTACACTGTACACACAGCTCAGTTCCCCGGTGCAGCAACCTCAGGAGATAGACAAACACAGCAATGTGGAACCATGTCTTTATATTAGGTCATGTTCATCAGAATTCTAACTTACAGTGTCACTGCCTCTTTTCATCTCTACGTTGGAGCTGTGGATTTCTATTGTCAGACAGCTCCCTACATCTGTACTATATCGGTAGTCAAATAAATATCCTCACAACTCCAGCTGAGCAAGGCCACGATTCCACGAAACTGAACCATTTTGCAATTGTTTGCTCTTACCAATACTGCTTCTAGTGTGTACAACCATCTATGCCATGTCATCTCTAGTTGCCATGTTCAATCGACATGTAGTTTTTAGAGTGAAATGCAGCCAACAGCCAAAATTCTGTGTTGCCACAAAAATGTATGTCATCCAGAAAAAAGCAAGGACCAGTGAACAAACCTACAGGTTGATAGACTTGTTTTTTCTCTATTTCTTGGGAAGATTTTGGATTCAATCATTGCCTGTCAAGCTCTTGCTTTCATATTGTACAGAAAACCAATAATTGTACCTAATTAAGACTCCTTATGCAAGTATACTACACATACTCATTTTGTATTGTTCATTGCCCGTTGTTGCTTGTTGAATGCATTGTTTACGAATATGAAGCTATGAAATGTTAGCAAAGTAGTTGCTAAGTTACAATATATCAATATCATCATACTTACACAGACATCTACTCCAGTGTCCATTAGCAAAACATTAGGCATAGTTTATAACATAACAGCTACCTCATCAACTGGTCCAGTGGGAAAAGTACAGTTTCAGGTTAGTTTCTAAGTACTTAAGAATTCTCCAGGTACAGTGGAAATGGATAGTGTTAGATTTTTAGCTGATAAACATCTTATAGGTACAGGAATGTTGCAAAAATAGGGCTTGGTTCGCGATTTATGTGTAAAAAATCAATTTGCGTCTTAAATTTCCCTTTAAAAGACCAGGAACATTAATTTTATAAATCATGGTTGGGCATATTGGTTTTCAACTGTTGTAGGATCTGTCTAGGAACAAATCGGTGATCATCGACAGTAAAAATTGTCACAGTAACTGTGTACATGAAACATTGCATACTTCGCATACAAACTCACTCAGCGGTCGCTTTCTCACACCCGTAGTCACTGCTGCATTGGGGAACTGTGCTGTTGATTTCGGATGTAATTTATTGCTGCATTATGTGTACAGTAGATTGTAAATTTGATAATTATTGAGTTTCTTTTTGGTGATTCCATATCGAATTAATCATTTTAATTGTACGAATAAAAAAAATGATAATTATAGGTACTGCTGATAATTTCAACCAATTGCAATGATATTGGCAGTGACGGTATCAACTGTTTTTTATATTTCCCTGGGGTTTGTATCTATTCACATTTAGGCTATGCTTTTGTGCCATGGATTCTTGGTGGACATGTCATGTTCTTGCCCTCGCATTGTCGTCATAGGTTGGATAACAAAATGTTAAACGTAGTGATAGAGGCTGTTGTACTTGGAATTTTTGAGTCGCGTAGCCTAAATCAGAATAAATAAGTACCGGAGGCGGATGGTGAAGAATTGCACATTGCTGGATATTAGTGTTATGATTATGATAGGATATTAAAGGTAGAACCAGGGATGGGGAGAATTATGGGTATATGATATCGATGAGACCAACTGTTTAAACACAATAAAACTTTTTAAAGACTTGAGAACTTTGTTGTTTAGCATTATTTGTCTTCAATTACTTGAGAACAAATACCTAGTTCCGTTTTGTTATCATGTATATAGGCCACACAAAGTTTTAAGCTCATTTGGGGGGGGGGGCAATTATCTGCTAAGACTAAGTTCATGTAAAAAGAGCTTTTTTTCAAAAAGTCTCAAGTGATATAGCTTTAAGGCAATATTTTTAAGGCAAGACTTTTGAGGCAATATTTTGGTGGGGAGCAGTTATCTGTATTAGGCCACACCAAGTACATTTTATGGATGACGTCCGCATGCACATTGATTTTGGCCTGTTCCTAGAAAAAAAAATTCCACACGTAAATTGCTAATTTTCAGTCGGATTTTTAAGGTATTTTGGCATCTATAGCTATAAACAAACTACACATTCAAACTCAAAGCTCTTTTTGCAGTACTATTTTGGGGGGGGGGGATGTTTAGTCTTTCTAACATCTATTTTGTAAACAGGTGAGTAATGACAGAGGTACATTTGATATGGATTGTTGCAGAACATACCCTTTAGATTTAAGGCACTTTGGGGACAGTAAAGACGTACTACACTATAGAAGCTAAACCTTTATGTTGAAAAAAAATTAGTTTTTTCTGAAGAGTTAGATTTTAGCACTATTGTTCCATATTTTTTCCACCTGTTTCATGTAGGGCAGTGACATGCACTTCCCCAGTAGCACAGTACTACTATTCAGCCAGACTGAAGTCAGGGGTGATGAAGACGATGCTGCCTTTGGTGTGCTGGAACTGCGGTGAGGAGGAAACGCTGCCCATTCCGGCAGAGAAGACTACTGCATACCAGACAATAAACCCTGTTTGCCAGGTAGGCATACATTTGTTACTTCTTGCTTGTTACACTGTCACCTCATTCAAATTGTGTCCTGACATTTGTCGTCACTTAGTATATTTCTAATCTAGGCATCTTGTTTTTTAGGGCCCTTCTTTTTTTTTTTGCCCTCTTGCATAAAATTTACTTGGTGTGGCCTTAGAACAGGAAACACGAATCGAAACAACAACTGAACAATGGAACGGAAAAAAATGTAAAACGTAACCTGGCACGGGTTGGTAAAAAAAGAACATATATATAATTTAATGCTAGTCTCTTCACGAGTCAGGTATTTAGAACTTACACTTTGATATCATGACAATATATAATTGATTGGTGTGTAACTTAATTTTTTTACTGAGTAATATGAATGAACAAGCAGAGCTCTATTTTGTGGCGAACCAAGGTTGCACCTTTATTGCTTGACTAGAAGAAATAAAACAACATTATACAACATTATAAGGCCCCAAACATCATTTCCCAGCACCCCCCTATTAGCAGATTATCTGAAGGCAAAAGTTCGTAGAACCAAATCAAAAACACCCCTACTAAACATTCTCGAGTCACTGTACAATGTACATCTAACTCCCTTCCTTTTACAATTCTTGATTACAGTATGATAGTCTCAGGGCTGTCTCCAGCTCCAGTTTTTTGTATGTCCCACATGGTTTTAATGTCCGAAGCAAGCCTTTTCATGCATTTTAGAAAAAAAATTGTTATAAATATGTCATTATTAAAAGATTTTTGGGAGGGACGTGATGAAGTTGCAAATTTCCTGGACAGTAAGACGGTTCTTCCTTGGAGGGAAGTACATGTAGATACAAGTACATACATTTGTACATGTTGGTACATAAACTATCAATCTGTGATATCTATTATATGATCATACATCTATGTCTACTGCAGGTTACAATTATATTACTGTGCGTGCATGTGGACACTAACCATCATCCCCTTGGGTAGAGTCAACTTTGAGTTGTTATTTTTTACTTCATCTAAAAAAAAACTTTTTTTAGCTTAGTTTACACAGTTTTAGTAGAAAGGATCACTGACAGGTAAAACAAGCATACTAAGCTTAATCATAATTGTTCATCAACTCTAGAGCTGTTGGAAACAGGAAGGAAAATGCCAATTAGGACATTAGACGTCGTATGGACTTCTACCGCAAAGCAAGGACACAATGTATGTAACTTTAAATGTGGGTTACTCATATTTAACAGCTGAATTGTGCTAGTGCTGAGTTTCAGTTTTCATTCTTATTGGTCTAAGATATTGTCGTCTACAGTACAGAAGTACACCTCTTCGTCTTGTCTATCATCCAGCAAGCTAATAGAGTTGATTTACGTTTCTTGCATTTCAATGCAAGGAAAATTTCTTACATGTCTGTCATCAATACACTGTACTTAGAGCTGCAAAGTTTTAAATCTGTACCCTAATGCTACCGTCTTTTTCGCCACTAAAATGACTTTATCACTAAAATCACTAAATTAAAAATGATTTTATAGACCACTTTTTGACAAAGCGGCATAAGGTAATCGCTGAGCTACATTGTATGCTGACAAAGACGATTGCTCTAGGTTCCAAGGCAATCCTGAACCTTATCCCAGTAATCCAGGGTTGAATCCTTTAGGTGCCCGTTTGGACCACCATTGTGTAGGCGGGCCCAATCCTCGCAGGTGGGCTCATGCCCAAGCCGGGCTTCAGTGGCATACCGGGCCATGTACCCAGCAACAGCGTCACGACTGCACACAAAAGACGCAGCACATCTTTGCCAATCTAAAAAAATAAACAAAGACGTCTTAGAAATAGAAACATCAGAATAAGTTACAATTTTCATATCCTGTGAGCTTACCAACAGCAAATCTTGTCAACAAAAATCCGGATACAATCCTCCGCACTTCTCTTCTCTGCGGGTTTTATTCGTCGGTGCCACAAGAAGCTGTCACATTGTGCAAAATAACAACAACACTGGATTTTGGCAAGTATATTCTATGCACTTCTACTACGCTTTATTCACAAGAAGATGTGTGCCTCACCACCCATCAGTTCTCCACCCTTCAGTGTAGCGTCCGTCCAGTAAGCAAGCTTGATTTGGAATGGGCCACATGAGAGGGAGCCTCCATCCATGCGGCACAGTGGGTCGGGCATCTCGCAGTTTGACTCTACTTCACAGATGCAGTCAACACATTCATCAAATGTTACTGAAACAGAACAAACACAACGCCATTGTATTATGTGTACACGCTGATCATTGATTTGAAACCCAAGGTTTCAAGCCTGTTTGCCAATATAGATTTACATTGCAAGTCGCGACTATCGTGGCTAAAACGATGTAATGGATTTTCGTAAAATTGCATCGACAGCAAGGTTATTTCTGAAAGCTAGTCGGTCTATATTTTCAAATAAAGCCTTTTATAAATTTAAATCAACTATATTCATCCATATATATATAGGTGAATATGGTAAAGATTTAGGTCTTTCTAATTGTACTTCTGCTTTAGTGCTTATGTAAGTCACTGCTCCTCTCCTATACAAGATGAGCTTTAGATATATAGGAAAAATCTTTTTCGTTGCATACGGTTGCGAATGTTTTACCACTATGAAATATCTATTTTAATCTAATTCCAACGAAGTGATAATAGTATAATCATTAACCTGCTTAGACATAAACCAACAACTGCTCCCTAAACATAACGTTCCTGCGTCTATAGAATGTGGAAATGTAATGTCATGATCAATAGATCCCATTGACTCAATAAGGTTGAGACATAACATAAAATTGACTTGATTAGGGTTCCACTTTGATTCAGATACATTATAATGCCAATTCACTAGGATGTTAAAAGTGACTCATTTCCAAATTTCGAATACGGATAAGTACCTACCAGGATCAGGTGTTGGAGTAACTGTTGGAGGATCACCTGTTGGAGGATTACCTGTTGGAGGATTACCTGATGACCCACCTGTTGACCCACCTGTTGACCCACCTGTTGGCAAGCATGAAAAAGTAGTGGAATCAAAACGTCAACAGAATGACAAACTACAATTCCATGACTAAGTTTATCCAATAACAAGAGATGTTAAATCCATTTCCAAGGAAAACCTAACAATTTCAGAATGATTTTATTCCGTTTAAGGAAATTTTGCATCGAACAACGTTTGAACCTTTGTGGAGGTGTTAATTTTCATCTGTCTGCGTGTCTATTTAGATACAAGATGGCTTTATTGGTATTCGCAGTGTGTAACAATAATCGCAATTAGATAAATGCAGTTACAATGGTGAAAATATTGTCATTTTTAACAATAGGCACAGTTTAGTAGTATAGATGGATATTATAAGTTATATACAAACCAGTTGAAATTACGTGTGAAATACAGTTACAACCGACAACTCGATATTTACAATGCTGATTAAAGTCCATGCTGGTCAAATCAAGTACGATATGCTAGAGTTCAGGTATCTGTTTGTATCGTAACGTTCATAACGTTTGTCAGTGTTTCCGCATATTTGTAGTCAGAATAACTGAACAAGGCCTGGATGGATTGTGGTGATATTTATTATGTCTTGGGACGGCAAAGGTTAGATGTGGACCGCATGGCGGCTGCTCTTTGTGCTTAAAGAGCTTTTAAACTTTTGTGTATCTTTCATCTTGAGCATGCTAGGGTTTTGAATCTTTCGATATTTTGGTGGCGGATTCTGGGCGAGGAAAAGACATGTACGGTTGGCCCCACCTAGAAACTTTGTTCTGAAACAGCGAGGACAATTTTGTATAAATTTGTTGAAATCTCACAAAGATGATAAATCAAGAAAGGAACGATCGCTGAATTTTTATGATTTTAAGGTAGCTTATACAAATGTTCTTTTGTAAATTAGATGCAAAATGGACTGAAAGTTCTACACTTTTTAGATGATGAGTAGTGTTTAATGTATGTAACATATATGTTTGGCAGGTCGCAGATTAGAAGATATCTAATGCAGGTGGCAGATTAGAAAATATCAAATATTAACTAAGGCCGTATTTACGTGAAGTCACCCAAGGCACTTTACATGTGGTTTACCCCGAATCCGGTTTCAAGTGGCTCCATCTGAACGCTCCGAAATCACATTGAAAGCGCCTCGATCCCAAGCCACTTCTAGAGGTGGTTTCGAATCGGTTTTCCCACATCGCGATTTGCGTCTGAACGCAATGTGATTTCAATGTAACTTTGCCTGGTCATGGATTACGGGGTGATATTTCTTTATTTATATGCAATACCAACTTTTACGTGGCAGCAACTTAAAGAACAGTAATGGTCAAATAATGTGTCCGTTCTAGGGCGAGCTTCACCGCCTCTGGCGGGACTACGTCGGCATTCGGCCGAGATACGCTGGGAGGGGGGCACCAGCAAGCAGGTCGTTGACCTCTGATATTAATAACACGCCACCTTGCGTGTTATCATCAAACAACAATAAATGTAGCTCAAGCGAATTGTGATCGGACACGATTTCACAGGAGTGTGTGGCACGTGGACCAGATGTGAGGAATGCGAGTTACCCGAATCGCGGTTTGGGTGACTTATTACCCGAATCGCGGTTTGGGTGACTTAACTTAAACACGGCCTTAGTCCCTTTTTTTCTGCCTGCCTTTTCCCACTAGGATAAAATTGTCCGCATCTAATGGAATTAAATCGCTTTAATATCCGGCTTCGAGCCAAATTCAATTTGAGTAGAGCAGACAATAAAGTAAAACAGATTATATTAGCTACAACCTTAGTTCCATAATGAACAAGACAAAATAAAACAACAAAATTTGCAAGTGCTCTAAACGGAGGTATGAGGAACATTTGTTGTTGAGAAGAACAAACTAGCTCTGCAAAAATTACCAGCATCCGGGGCACAGCATCTACGGTTCGGTGGTCCTCCACATTTGCCGCTAAAATACGTGTAGTCCTGTGGTGGAGGGCAGGGAAGGCTGTCGTCCTGGCAGACTCCTCCGCAGTCTATACATGGCTTATCTTTAATAGAGAATAAAGTACACAGATTCGAATGTTACTTGTCAAAAGGTCTCTACAAATAGTTTCTTTGAAACCATTAGGACTTTTCTAATTAATTCAAAACGTCACTATCATATCTTGTCGGTATCAGTCTTTCATTATACGAACGTCACATTGCGCGTAAATTGATCGGCGAGTCTGTGAGCTCTGAACGACATTTCCGGCAGTACTAGTACGCCCAATGTTTCGTTTAGCATCGCACGAATTTTCGGTATCGTCGGTGATTTTATTAGTCGGTCGATGCCCGCTTTTACGTGAAATACAGAAATTATGCTGAATGGAATTGTTAGCAAAAACGCTTTACCATTGGCTGTGCAGCACCGTCGCCCGGTTGGCCCTCCACATTTGCCGGCCACATAAGGAACAGGGCAATGAATCGAGGTGCTTTGACAAACTCCACCACAATCGTTCAGACACGGGGCATCTGTAAGGCAGTATAAACTGGCAACTTATGTTTAGCAAGACAAGGCGCGAAACTCTGTTTTTATCTACTTGTTAGTAATGTTACCTTTGCCAGAAAGTTGTTTTTTTTCATTGATGGTGATGATGCCTCAGAGCCCTTTCAAGTGTGCAACGGAGTGAAACAGGGCTACCTCGGGAAATGATGTCCTGTGTGCATACTCATCTGTTGCATCGACAGGAGACTCTGACAACATGTTTTTTGCCTTCGACAGAAGGGTATAAAATCGGTTTGCCTTAGTGTGATCTAGTGTGGGAGACTGTGGATTTAGCGGCATAACTCGAAGAAATTGAACGATGTTCATGATTTTTGGCAGACCAAGTTTAAGTGCAAATATGGACTTCGTGGGGGTCCCAACGTTACTGCAGTGGACCTTTTGTGTTTGTCGCTTGTTAGCAGAATAACTTGAGTATATGTAAATGGATGTTCATGATTTTCTTGGTAGACAGTTACTGTTGCAGAGATCAAGATCAAGTTTGAAAATGGGTGTCGTGGGGTTCCTCACGTTACTGCAGTGGACCTTATGTGTCTGTTGGTTTGTATGTTAGCAGTTCAATTTTGGGAAGAGTTATTGTTTGGAGTTTTGTATGGTGGATAGTCTTTGGGTCATAGATAAAGTGGTGTAAGTTTGGACTCCCAAATGGCTTGTGGGGAAGTGCAATTGGCCCTTTTGTGTAAAAATATTAGAGGTGCAGTTGATGTCTTTTATCTAGGTTAACGACCTTGTGGCTAAGGGGCCCGAGTCCTCTACTGACCAGACAGCACAGGAGTCCCACTTCAGCTCCCCAGGGATGATGGTATCTAATAGCCTTGTCATGATAACCGAAATGGCTGGGACTGTCCTGTCAGCCACACATGTACAGACTGGGAATGTGGGATGCGGGATTGGCCGGCCACATAATCTGTGACCTTGTTATGGCACTGCAGCGAAACTTATCTCGTGATCTGGACATGCGAGGGTTAGGAAATTTGACTGACAGATACTAGTAGCGCTTGTGATCGGAAAGAAGTAACAGTTTGGACCTCCCCTTACAGCTTGCTCTGGAACTGCACGGCCGTTTCTTTTTAATATTCGTGGGAGGATGATGGATCATAGTTATTTTTGGCATGTAGGTGGCAAAAATGATTTTTGACAAGAGTAGAAGACAATTACGTCAATCAGCATAAACTTTACATCGTTAATGAGGAAATTCGGCAAATCTGCTATGTTCCAGAATAATTCAAAATTGTGACCCATTTAATTAATTATGTTAATAAAGACCTAATTTTCATAATTAATGAGAAAATGTTATAATTTCAAAATGATGAATACTAGGAATTTCATGCTTTCGGAGTTAAAAGAAGGTGAACATCATTGAACTTAACTTATCTGAACCAGGGCCTCATTTGCATGATTTCTAAGGAAATGCTAGAATAGCCTTCTTAATATATGACATTGGTTGCAGAATATGATCACTGATCAGCTCATGTATTTTATGTAAATGTGCGTCATATTTGCGTAAATAACGAGAAACATTTGCAACTCGTCTGTCGCCAATGTTCATCCAGCGAAGTTATGATACCGTGGACCTCTTGTTCAATAAGAGACTATTGAAGTCGACAAATTAAAGTGAAAGTAAATGCTTTTTATCTTAGTGTCAGTATTACATAAAAAGAAATTATGCTGAATGGAATTGTTAGCAAAAACGCTTTACCATTGGCTATGCAGCATCGTCGCCCGGTTGGCCCTCCACATTTGCCGGCCACATAAGGAACAGGGCAATGAATCGAGGTGCTTTGACAAACTCCACCACAATCGTTCAGACACGGGGCATCTGTAAGGCAGTATAAACTGGCAACTTATGTTTAGCAAGACAAGGCGCGAAAGTAACTTGTCTATTTTTATCTAGTTTACCTTTGCCAGAAAGTTGTTTTACGTTATGGTTTCGTGTCTGGTTTTAATGATGTCGTGCTATTTAAGAATAGCACGACATCATTTGCATAATTTATTAGGAAATGCTAAAATAGCCCTAAAATATGACTCTCATTGGCTGTCACTGGCTTAACTTAGAAAAGAATTGGGAATACTGCATTGTCTGTTTCCTAGACCTAGAGAGAGCCTTCGGCCGCGTTCCGATGGATAAGACGTGGAAAGTCATACGTGTAGCAGAGACTGGCAGCTAACTTCTCAGGGCCTTCAAGAGTACATATAAGGATCAGAAAAGCACGGTCGTAGATAGTACAAGCTATTTCTCCATCAACACTGGTGTTCGACAAGGTAGTGTCCTCTCGCCCTTGCTATTCATCACTTACCTCAACCATGTTATCACTGGGATAGAGAAAGAGGACTTCAAAGCAGGACATTTCGGATATGCAGATTGCATTGCACAAATAGCTTGAGACAGCTTGGCCAGGCTACAAATAATAATGGGCCAATGGTACAACGAGCTGTCCAGTGCCGGGCTAAAGTTACGCTACGGCAGGAGGGAATACATGAAAGTGGACAGAAGAAAGGAGAAGAGAAAAATTAATATATAAAAGGCCATACTCTTAAACAAACGAACAACTTTGGTTATCTGGGTAGCAAAACTAAAATAACATTTTACAATCTGTTGGACGAGAGAGAGCAAAGGGACTTTGAGAAGTGAAACTCTTGACACAAGACTGGGCAGCATGGGGGAACCCGACCCTGAGGTTGACGACTAACAGACCAGAAGTCTATAGGCGATCGGGAGAGAAGGGTGAGAAATTGGCAGAAGGATATGATCAACTCATTCGATTCATGCAAATGCATGTCTTATTTGCATAATCAAAGAGAAATATTTACAATTCACCAATTTTGATGAACATCAACCAGCTGCAGGCTAGTACAGGCTAGTATTACATATTATTATTATTAAAACGGAGATAGAACTTATGCTGAATGGAATTGTTTTACCATTGGCTATGCAGCATTGTCGGTCGGTTGGCCCTCCACATTTGCCGGCCACATAAGGAACAGGGCAATGAATCGAGGTGCTTTGACAAACTCCACCACAATCGTTCAGACACGGGGCATCTGTAAGGCAGTATGTATTATACCCGTCAAAAGGGGGCATGAACATGAAATGACGACCTGTCTGTGTTTGTAAAATAAAAAAAAGCTGTGTGTGTGTGTGTGTGTGTTTCCGCATATTTGTAGTCATCATAACTTCAGAATCTATTTATGGATCGTTATTATATTTGGTATGTTGATAGGACGTAGGAAGACAAAGATGTGAGTATCTGGAGGCTGATGTATGTACAGTAAAGTTTCCAAAGTGGCTGTCCACATGACAAAGACAACTTGTTCTTGAGCGACATGAAAGCGACTTATTTCCAAACGCCGAGTACGCGAGAGTACCTACTAGATGAAAAAAAGTATGATCCCCGGGTTCAGTATGAGACAAGCGTACACACAAAAGGTGACACAAAAGCTGCAGTCAGTGACGAAAGGTAGTGGATGCTACCAGAAACGTCTGACCGTTTCCCAAATCATATCCAGTTGGTTGAGTTACTGTTTTTTTTTGGCACGTCACGGAAATTATTTCAGAATTTTTAGGAAGACGAGCCTAACCTTACTCCTCGTATTACCTACGTTAGAGACGACATTGTTTTCAGCGTGGCTGTGTGCCTACCAATTGACAGCAAATTTGTTCTCTAGGGACTTGAAAGCTACCGATTTCTGAGCATCGAGTATGGCCATGTTCCTACCAGTTGACCCGCCACTGCCACCATAGCCGCTTGTTGGCCCACTTGTTGGCCCACTTGTTGGTCCACCTATTGACAAGAAAATAGCACAGGAATCAAAACGTCCAAATAATGACGGTGTCCGGATCAATGACGTAATGTGAGGCAATTATATGCTATTTCCAATTCACAATGGTAACAAGTACCGCATAGAAATATTTGTAAGTGATAGAAACTATTTCAAATAAGAACATTCGTTGTCTTTGTTTTTCTCCTCAAAGGAGTTGAGCCATGCAACAGTGATTTAACAGGTCTACACCTAAATACACCGCGTTTAGCGGGATTGCTAAAGGAAGTATTTCAACAAAAAATGCCTGCTTATAAGGTACTTTTCATCCAGGATAAATGTGATTTATCAAGCCTCCAATGATAGCCATCATTTTGCACGTCAAATGCTCCGCAAGGTCCTATGATTTCATTTAAGCAGCTGCAGCTTTCGTGGCTCACAAAATGTTCTGGTAGAAATACTTGCGCGAGAGTAGTGGCCGATAACTTGCTGTGCTTCCTTGATAGCACTGACAAAACTTAATGATACCGCAATATTCACCTTTAACGGTGCTGTGCTCCTGTTTTATGTACATGCATTTGTTGCCTTCCAATGATACTCAACATTATAACAGTAAAATGCCCCGAAAGATCTGATGATTTCATTTAAGATCTTTATAATTTGGAACTATATGTAGACACCATGTAATAAGTTACAATAAGTCACCATAATAAGTTACAAATGTTCATACATCTACAATTGTTTTCAGAAACGAGAAGTTGAACTTGTACCTAGTATACGTAGTTTACATTTATCTGTATAGTTCTACTGACATAATACTGTAACTTTATTTGACTCGTACTTAAGTTGTAAGTGCAAAAAGTTATATAATACATGTACATGTCTTTCTTTCAATATCTCCTGGAACCAAAGAATTCTTTACTTGCCAAAAACAAAAAAGTTGCAAACCTCCTGCGTTTTGGTCCTGTTATATCTAGCCATTGCATACGCGAGGAATTTTGTACTTTAAATGAAGCATGGTTGAAAACTATGAAATAAAGACTAAACTTTAACTTCCAACACTTAGACTCTAAGTGTTGGACGTTAAAGCTTAGTCTTTATTTCATAATCACTTGTACCAACACAGATGAACTTTCATGCTATGGTTGAAAACTATTTTTCACCCTATAGATATCTAAATCATGAAAATGGTAAGGTGTACAATAAGACCACTAGAATGGAAAACTTACCAGTTTCACAGTGATCTCCCTCGTAGCCAGGGGCACAAGTACAGGTGTAGCTGTCAACCCCGTCATTGCAAGTCCCGCCGTTTGCACACGGATCGGAGCTACATTCGTCTGTATCTGAACAGATATACAAGAAGTTTTGTTAAAAACGCCTCCAATGATAGCTATCGCTTTTGCACATCAAATGCTCCGCAATATCAGATGATTTCATTCAAGCAGCTGTACAAGATCATCTGATACCAACGATTTTGTTACTTTCAAAAGAGAAAAATGGTTCCAAACAGCTGCGTTTTCTGAATAACGCCGCCAAAAAGCTCTGATAATCGTCGCAAAAAGGGTTTTGGTCCTGTTATAGGCGCTTGCCATTGCATATATAAGGGATATTGTAGTTCAAAAGTAACATGGCTAGTTAAGTAGTTAGCGAGAACAATAATTTCAGGTGTAAGACAAATAGAATGGAAAACTTACCAGTTTCACAGTGATCTCCCTCGTAGCCAGGGGCACAAGTACAGGTGTAGCTGTCAACCCCGTCATTGCAAATCCCGCCGTTTGCACACGGATCGGAGCTACATTCGTCTGTAGCTATTCGAACAGATATACAAGAAGTTCTGTTAAAAACGCCTCCAATGATGGCCATCATTTTGCTCGTCAAATGCTTCGAAAGGTCCTATGATTTGTTTAAGCAGCTGCAACTTTTATGGCAAAACGTTCTAGCTGGTAGAAATATACCAAAGAATTCCTTACTTGCGCAAGGTAGTGACCGATAACTTGCTGTGCTTCCTTGATAGCACTGAAGAAAAGTTATAATCCCGCAATATTCACCTTTAACGGTGCACATGCATTTGTTAATCAATTTTGTAGTTCAAAAGTATATAACAGGCCAGGGCCGAAAATTTGCTTCACCCTAAATAACGCAGTCGACAATTACAGCTGTACGGTATATCACAACTATAATCTGAAAACTTACCAGTTTCACAGTGATCTCCCTCGTAGCCAGGGGCACAAGTACAGGTGTAGCTGTCAACCCCGTCATTGCAAATCCCGCCGTTTTCACACGGATCGGAGCTACATTCGTCTGTATCTGAACAGATATATTAGAAACATCCAGTGCAATTTCATGGCAGCAAAACAAGAAAGCAAATATTCTGCCTGATATTGACATTTATTGCCATTTCATAGCACATTTTTGGCATAATTTTATACATCAATTCGAACATCTCCAACGAAGAACTGCGACGCAGAACCAACCAGCCTCCGGGCAGCCGCATGATAGTCAAATGCCAGCTGAACTTCCTAGGACACGCTTCTAGAGCAGAACCCACCCAGGAAGTGATAATAAACTAAGTCATTTATGAACCTGACCCTACGTGAAAGCGCTCCAGAGAACGTCCTAGAGGGCTATCTGGCAAGATTTGCCCTTCAACTTCCTGGAGAAAGTGGGAACCACAAAGGACATCCTGAAATTGCAGTAGGTGCCTTTAAAGCACTTCCAATGATATTAAATATTTTGAAAGTAAAATGCCCCGAAAGGTCATTTAAGACCTTTATAGTTTGGACCTATATATTGACACCATGTACGATAAGCTACAAACGTTCATACATCTACATGTACAACTGTTTTAGAAAGCGAGAAGAAGTTGAACCTGTACATAGTATACGTAGTTCACATTTGTGTGTATAGTTGTACGATATTACTGTAACTTTACTTCTGCTTTCTCTCCATGACTCATACATAGTTTATAAGTGCACAAACGTACAATACATGTATTCCTTTCAATTCCTTCTGGAACCAATTTTTTTTTTACTTGCCAAACACACAAAAAGTTACAAATTTCCTGTGTTGTCTGAATAACGTCATTGAAAAGCTCTTTTACTCATTGAAAAAAAAAAGGTTGTGGCCTTGTTGTTTTGGTTCTTTTATAGGTGCTTGCCATCGCATATATAAGGGATATTGTATGCTATTCCCTTGACAAAGACTGGAGTTGTAAAGTCGAAAATTTGGGTGAGTCCAATTTCTTGTGTTGGAAATTACAGTTTAAACTTGCTGCATAATGACTTCTACCAACACAGATGAACTTTCAAGATAAGGGATGTTGTAGTTCAAAAGCAACACGGTTAGTTAAGTAGTTAGCGCCAACAATAATTTCAGGTGTAAAAAAACTAGAATGGAAAACTTACCAGTTTCACAGTGATCTCCCTCGTAGCCAGGGGCACAAGTACAGGTGTAGCTGTCAACCCCGTCATTGCAAATCCCGCCGTTTGCACACGGATCGGAGCTACATTCATTTATCTCTGAAACAACATGCGGAGAGTTCTTCAAAATTTTTTAAATCATTTGATACATAGCCTGAATGCCAGACCCATAGCTCACTGGCCCGAAGTTATCCAGTTATCCTGCTTACTGCGTGACTTTGGGCCAGTGTGCTATGGGTCTGGCATCCAGGCTATCTGACACCACCATGCCAATACTTGTTACCTGTAAATAACACAGAATATTTGAAATATATGTAATTTTGGCGATAAATGGAAACATGTGGCTAACCTGGACTCTAATCATCGCATGATTATTGAGAAAATGCAGCAATATCTCGAGGGTAAATCATGGGAATTTTAAATTTTGTCATGTGCACCTTTAGTGGAGGTGACTATCATCATGATATCAACTAGTTACATCATACAAGTTAGGTCATCAATATACTGATACTGTAGTTGATGAATGTATGGGCCGTGGAACTTTTTATGAATACAATATCAAGTTGTTCGTTTCACACTTCTGTCCTTTCTAATTATCATTAGACATTAACAAAGGTGAAAACACAACACCTTCACACACTAGGTCTTCTCCCCTCCAGTGGCTGTTCACGCAGACTTTCCTCTCGTCACCGGACACCTTGACATTCCCGGCCGGGCAGGTGAAGACACATGTGTGGCCGGCTTGGTAGGTGGCTGCACCGCAATCACTGGTGTAACCTTCAGGGTGGCTGGGTGCACCGTCACATGGGCGGCCTGGGTATATGGAACACTTTTGTTTATAATCAATAGTGAATCATATAGATCGCTATTAATTATGAAGGTACTCAAACTGACCTTCAATAAAGGTACCTTGTAAGCAGGCATTTTGTTGAAATTCTTCCTTTAGCAACCCCACTTATAAGCGTGTATTTAGGAATTTAGGTGAAGACATGTTAAAATGGTGTGTCGGGATGGAAGTTGATTTCATTAAGAATATTTGCATTAAGCTGTACACAAATGTGTATCATGACCATGAAAGCATTATGAACATGTGTAATGATGTAAAATAGCTGGAAGATGAATTGTGTCATTGTCTAAAACTATTCTTGATCTGGCTACATTTGGAAGTTTGCCACTCACAACGACACTTCAGTCCGCGTCCTCCAGTCCACCATTTTGACCTGCCCTTGACCTTGCACACCCTCTCTGTGCCCCCTGTGTCCTTTACACATCCCAACCTGCATTCAAAGTTGCAGACGGTTCCACTGGGGTACCGCCCTTCTGCATTTGGCTCCTTGTCGCAATCCCTTATCGTGTCTGGAAACACCAAAGGCTTGCACCTTTCTGTACAGAAGACACACAAATGTATAAGACAAAGAATACACAAAAGTAAAAACACATCTGTAAAAAGACGTTTCTGCGTTACACCAGTGAGTATTGTTCATAAAGCAAACTCGTCACAGTGTTGCCACATTTTTATCAACTGATACCCAGAGTAATTTGTATTCAAACATTTAAAAAAGCTCCAATACGCACTTCTTACTCTCCCTCCGCCAACAAGAGCCACATAGAGTACAGGTGGTAGACAAAGCAGGAGGCCGACGATGACCCTGAAACAAAGGTAGATAAAGCAGGTAGCCTGAGGAAAAACTCGTCTTGGCCCAGACCAGTCGGACAAGATTCGCTCGACAATGAAGCAAGCAGCTGGCGAATGCACCAATGACGATATTATGTTCAAATGCTCCCTCTGCCATTCTACCCTATATCTGCAGTGCTGATTTTACATTTATCATACGTACGTGCCGTTTGTCACGTAGTAACAATTATCATGGAGGCGTGGCCGGCCACAAAGGTGAACAAAGCAAATTAAATCTACTAGCAGGCTGTACGACTGGCGCGAGTTTTTTTGAGGGAGGGGGTGCTTTCATAATGCACTTTCTCACTTCTATCTACACTCAAGTAGAAGCCAAGTACACATAGGAGTGATGTGCTATAATAAGGACCCATGAAAAGCAGACGGAATGCATCTTGAAGGTTTAACTATACGGTCTGGAAAAAGTAGCAAGTAGTCCTTTGATTTTCAGTTGAAAGATGGATCACTAATGTTTAGATGATTTACGTTGGAATCAGAAAGAGTTGATTGAGAGACTTTCAACGGAGAAAGTTTGGTCTGGACAGATCTAAAGGATGCACCCGCGGCCGCATAACGGACAGTAACACCCGAATGACAGAACCTCAAACGATCAGATATTTCGTATCCGGCACAACTTTTGTAACAAACACCTGTAACGACATTTTAGTCACTACTCGTCTGATACCTGTACTCACGGTATCGTGACAACTCTTTAAGACAATTTCAGTCAATTCGTACAGTGAGTAGGTCAGCAATCTGAATTAGCCATAGACTAGCCATAGGCAGGCCCTCAGGCCTGTCAGTGTCTAGGTCATCATATCTACGGCTGGTCACAGATCCGTTCTTAATTTTTCAAGGCTAACTCAAATTTCTCTGGGATAGATCGTGGTATGAAATAGCGATGAGGTTTGAAATATCAAATAGTATTACGACTGCGTTTCTTTTTTTTTTTGGTCACGTCAAGGGGAAGAATGTTCCACGTAGGTTATTTGGACTTGCGTCATTCTCACGACAATAACAAATTATCTCACGAAATTAAGCGTGCGTATTTTCAAATTTTGTCAGTTTCACACGCTTGAGTTATTCAGATAATTTGTTATTGTGTTTTGATCGCCAAACTTTCTAGGCTCACCTCTTTTTCATACAATCGTGCTCACTCTTTTATCAAACCAAACAAGAACAGCAAATGGAATCGTGAAAAGCGTGTGAGGAATGTTGATAAGTGCCAAGTCACCTTTTTGGTTCATCTCTGTAACATTCTGTAGGACACCAGTCCTAATAGTGATAGACTGAGTCCTTTCTGTGTCACCTATGTTGTGTGTTGCATCTGACACATTTATGTTACTGTTCTGTCGTTGCAATGTAGCCGAGCATTTGACCTGGCCAAAGGCATTCCGCTGACGTTTTTGGTTCTTATTGTACTGCGTATTTTCGGATTTTCATCCATATCCACCAGTAATATCGGTCAGTAATATCAGAATGACGAAAACTCCTGCGGAGCGAGGTTTCAATTTAACATAAATCTCCAACTGCACAAAACTACATCTTTAAGTACTGTAGATACAAGGTGTAGAAATGCTCTTGAAATAATTCCAGTAAGGATCCGAAAGGCACATAGAAAGCAATTTAAGGCTTGACTATACCATCGACATCTGAAAAATGTAACGGGTAGTCCTTTCATTGTGGGTTGAATTAAAGGGTCGTTCATATGCATCGTACTTTGTAGATTCTGTAGTTTGGAATCATGCAGAAAGCGGTACCGGTGATCGAAAGACTGCCAAGTGTCTCAGGAGACATTGTTGCATCGATAGATATTGACGGACAGGAATATCGGAATTGCGAAACCTCAAAAGAATGAACATGGAATTCGTGCTTCTATGTTTTTAAAACGTGCTCTGCACACTGCTAATGCTTGATAACAAGGCGATAACTGATACAAGTGCGACGTTTATGCGTTCATGCGAAAAGAAATGGTGTAAACCATGTATTATATGAGGATACCAGCTTCATGACAGGAGCAAGAAAAATAACCTATCTTCTCGAAGCAGCTATTTCGTCGTCTCAGATCGCGGCAGTGCGCGCCGGTTGCCTGTCCGAGCTCACCGCCCACTTTTTTCGCCACTATCCGTGGTTCTAACTGGCCAAATAGCCCTCCTTACAACTTATTCACAACTGACTGTTTTGAAACAGCGGTGTAAAACTGAAGTCTGTAACGGCATTCTAATAAGAACTCATCCGTACTTACCTCATTGTGACAATTCTACCGAATGTCCTCCCGGCCCGTCTCTGCTCAGACTGGGTGTTCAGCAGAAATGAGTCGACTGCCGACGTCGCGACAAGTATTGACGCACTTTGCTCTATCACGAAGCCAAGATAATTAAGGGTAGCCTCCACAACAGTCTCCTGGTGAAGTTTAAGTATCGCCACCGTCTGTCTGATAGGCACCAATTTTCTTCTTGAAGCTTTGTGCTGATGCCTGTGCTTTCTTACAGTGGGTACGATAGCAATTAGAATTTCAGACAGTTTTGCGTATTCAGTCAGAATGGTCCTTCTAAGCTTGATATGTTGACTTCGACGAGATTAGCCGAGACCCCCAGGCACTCAGGTGTCAGGGCTGTCAGTGTCAGGTCAGGATCATCGTATCTACGACTGGTTACAGATTCTTTCTTGAGTTTTCAAAGCTGACTCAAATTTCTATGAGATAGAAGGTGGTATGAAATAGCAATGAGGTTCACGGTTTGAAATATGAAATAGGATTGTGAGAGTGTTTCTTTTTTGTCGACGGTAAGTGTAGAAGTTTGACATCGATAACAAATTATCTCGTGAAATTAAGCGTGCGTATCTTCAAATGTTATCTGTTTCACACGCTTGAGTTATTCAGATAATTTGTTACTGTGGCTTCATCGCCAACCTTTCTAGGCTTACTCCTTTTTCGAATTCATATATTCTCCTTTTCAATCGTGCTCAAATAAAAACAGCAAATGAAATGGTTCACGACTTTGTCCAGTTAGGAATTTACCCTGGTGGCTGACCCCTCTCCACCGGCAAAAATAGTCGTTGATGTATCCATGTGATAATAGACCATATCCAGATAGAAGTTGGATTACAAGCTTAAGGTACATTTGTAAGTGTGTGCGAGTAAGCAATAAGTCTGTTACATGAGGTGAGGCATACCAGTACCATCAAACAAAGTGTGTGTTTTTTAACCTGCTAGGCACCATCTTCTTTGTTGGATGACTCGTAGGGGCAAAGTTCGTCTACGCACGTCTGATGCCATAGGATAATTTGATGCGTGTACAACCACACAAGCTTGTAATTCTGTAATAACCGCTAGTTGCGCTTTTTATCCCTTGAAGTCAGACTTGTTCACATCGCGTGACTATCAGGGCGTGTACACGACATTTGGTTAAAGTTTATCTGGTGGAGGGGATTGTGGTGTCGATTATTAGCACTAGAATTTGGTAGGAGCATGCTATTGTTTCTAGAGTACAATCACTGCATGAAATCCTATGTTTAAAGCACATTTTAAAGAATGCGTGAAGGGATCTAGAGATGAAACGGAACTTAATGCATGATTTGGGTGTACTTATACAATTTAAGGTGTACCTATGGATTTTGTGCTGTGAATCTATCTTAGGATGGTTAAAGCAAAAAAGGAAAGGCAAGATCGTAACAGCTTGGGGATTGCCATAGTTATACGCCTGGCAGAGACTCTATTTCCATCGATATGATATTGAGAATGACACCGAAAAATTCACAAATTGATTTCCTTCGTACATTCTTCGTCAGTGTGATAATATTCAGTTTATTGTCATGAAGAAAAGACCAGGTTTAAACTGAAGCTATCCCTGTCCTTGGTGCTGAAAGCTATCCCCACATATTGCCCCCCCCCTCTGTTGGCAGTAATATTACGCCGTTGCCGAGCATTTTCACCTCTCCTAACCTCATAAATCGGCTCCTTTTCTCTGTGAAGGCAATTCTTACAACTCAGTAGCTTATCTGGGGGAACAAAATTGCCCACAATAGTCCCGTTCGTCCGAAAATCCTCCGTAACTTCAGTTGTTTACGTAAAGCGGCTTTATGGTTTCGAGTCGGTTGCCCATATTTGGTCGTAAAGTGACACGTCATCAACGATGAATTGTATTAGCTAATCAGGCTCAATGACTCAAAACGTTACCGTGATGATAACCAATCAGCATCAAGGATACATAGGCTAATGACCCTCTGCGCCATGTATTAAAAGCGACTTCTAGCAGTCGGTGAAATTATTGCATGTAAAAATCTCCTCAAGTACCTGCAATAATTCCATGAACTGCTAGAGGCCCTCATTGACACGTGTGATGAATTGGCATTATGGCGCCTGTGTCACAGCATCCAATTAACTTCTGGACACCTCAGGTATGAATTATTACACTTCTATAAAGAGTTTGGTGAAAAAACTGGAACGAAAAGTTGATGCGTTTATGCGTTTTATTGATGTTTGTTTCATTTTTCGTTACTGAACATATTTTCCTTGATTTTGTTCTTGTTATCAGTTCTAAGCGTTCAGAAAACACATAGACGTGTATAAGGATCATATAGAAAGTATTGCAACAACTAGTTCTATAATAATTGTTCGCGTTTTTTTACTTTAAACGCTAAGATTTACACCCAATCCTGCCTACATTTAACCATGCATACATGTATCTACATGATTCACCTGGAGGATTACGTAACTACCTCGCATGACGTATGCGGCACCTGGACTTAATGTATGTATATTTTTTAGCCTCGATAGCAGACGATATCCGCTGATTTGATTGGCCCGCCTTTTAATCGAATTAGGGCTCAGCTAAGAACTGTCAAATGGCCATTTTATTGCATAACTTTTGACGCCAGAAGCGTCCTTTTAGTCACAAATTGCGGACGTTTCGGTTATATTCGGCAATACTTTGTAACTTTGTGATCTTATCGTTGATACTATGATATTGGAAGAATTGGATTTTCAGTTTAACAATCGTCGATAAAGAGAAATGAACACTCAAAGATCTAAGTACGCAAATGTAATATACGAGGGGTGTTCAAAAAGTTCTCGGCCTCACCTAGAAAATAAAGGTCAAACTCCTATTCTTTGATATAGCTGTATACTATGACGTCTTACATCACTGCACACAAAAATTCAAATTTTATATTCATTAATAAGCACGTGACGCCCCATGAAAATGGGGCCGGTGAGGGAAAATCACAAAATGGCCGCAACAGACGCGTGAGCTCTGATCAAGTGTATCGGTAAAAAAGGATGTCTCCTAAGGACATCCATAAACACATGGTCAAGACACTCGGTGATGACTCCCCTTCTTATTCAACTATAAAGAAATGGGTTGCTAGCTACAAGCGCGGCAAGGAGAGCACAAAAGATGAACATATGTCAGGATGCCACAAATCAGCACCACGGACAATCCAGTTGAGGCCATCCATCACATGGTAGTGAATGACAGATTTGGCCTGTGTTATGACTCAGTTCACAATGTTTTGTCGAACATCCTGGGGATGAAAAACTGTCTGCATGGTGGGTGCCTCTAATGTTTTTTGAACATCAGAAGTTAAACAGGCTGGACATTTCAAGGAACGAATTCAGTCCAATCCATGCAATTTCCTCAAAACATTTGTAACCCAAGAAGAGCTGGGTTCGCCACTTTCAGCCCGAATAAAAACAGCAGAGCAAACAATGGATGAAGAATTTTTCCCGGCCCCCAAGAAGTTTTAGCGAGTTTCGTCCGTTGACAGGGTTTTTGCCTCTGCTTTCTGGGACAGTAAGGAAGTAATCATAATTGACTACATGCGAAGGGGTTAAAGCATCAATGGGGAGTACTATTCAACAGAATTGCGACAGTTGAGTACAACAGTCAAAGAGAAAAGGAGAGGAAAGCACCGAGCTGTCGTGATGAAAATGCACCTGTCCTCACAGCACAGGGTTCAGTGGCAGCAGCAAACGAATTTGGCTTTGAAGTCTAACCCCACCCTTCCAATTCACCTGAACTAGCACCCTTGGACTTCTACCTGTTTCCTAAACTCAAGTTCCACTTATGTGGTCAACGTTTTGATGGTAATGATGACGTCATCTATGCGGTATAGGCCAATCTGGGGGGTCCAGATGCAACCTTCTTCCACAAGGGGAAAATAAAGCTGGAACATCACTGGACCAAGTGCATTGCAGTTAGAGAGGACTATATTAAAAAATAGTGTAAGAAAAATTTTACTGCCCTAACGTTTTCTAGGTGAGGCCGAGAACTTTTTGAACACCCCTCGTATAAGCGTATGAAACCGCATATGAAACGCCGATTTCTGGACAAGTACAAATGTATGCTACCTGAGCTAGCATTCGGGTCCTGAAATCGGCGTTTCATACATCGAAAAAGGTCGACACCACAACACACCAGCCACTCAGAGACTGTGTCCCACATGTAATGAGAATATTGAAGATGAATTTCACTTTGTTATGACATGTCACACCTATAGAAAAGAAAGAGATTCATTGTTACAGACTATTACCACTAAGACAAAGTTCACCCAATCTAGTACACAGTACGATACATTCTATGAATTATTGTCATGTCCTACTACCATATCTGCTTACGTAGGTCAATTTCTGTACACCTTATTTCATAAGCGAGACCAAATCATCAATTCATAAACATATTGTGACTCATATACTGTATAGATAGTAGTTTGTAGTAAGAAATGTAATAAGATAGTTTAGTTTTGTAGTATTGTTGTGTTACTGCCACACATTGTACCATGTACGATTGTCGAGCAATAAAGTTCATTCATTCATTCATTCATTCATACACAATAACAAGGAAAGATTGTAGCTTTCTGAAAGAAATTAATGGAAGGGGAGGGCGCCAAGAAATGCGTTAGCTACACAGATTGCGAAGAAACACAAAAATTTACCGAATAGCTGATTGATCCAAAATGTAATGTTTGCATTATTAAATATTGTAAGGCATATCAAACTGAGAAACACTCGAGACAATATTTTGTTAAAAGCATAACAGCAAATTGCAATTCAGGACTGTGTAAAGTAAAGGTGTATTGTGTTAAAACCTGTTATAACCAACTGTAATGCTGTCATCTATTGAAATAAAATATTAAAGGAATATCTTTGAGGTCGAATGATATATTTGTAAGGCAAATAATGGTATAATGATAATGGTGTTGGTCTATTACGTCATAAAGCTTGGTAAAGAAATGCAAATTATGATGATTCATTAACAAATGAGATCACACCTGTGTCTAAGCTAATC